TATATATATACACATATATATATATATATATACACATATACAAATTACTGTATGTAAACATACAGAAATTACTGTATGTATAAGACAAAAAGCAAATATTATCATACTGACCACAGTACCAGTCTGGACAACAAGTTCCATCTCTTCTCTTTTTAGCCAGGCGTGTCTCAGGCATACAAGTAGGCTGTGATGTAGGACATCGGTTCTCCTCACACACTAAGTAGCACAAAATATAAAATATGATGTACAGTAGGTGCATTGAAAAGAAAAATTATTTTCTGTGCATTAAACAAAAACTTAAATACACCTTAAAATAAATCTTACCACAGGTATAACGAGGGCAACACTGGCTTGTAGTGTTCAAATCCACTGTAAGGATCTCCCCTTCTCTGCAAACGGGAACCAGTTCTGTACAGGATTCACAAACTACATGTGTACAATAAGTGATTATTATATTTTTGGAAAATGATTCTAATTCAACAAATACTCATGTTTATGAATATACACGTAAGGGATTTACTCGAAATGTCAAGTAATTTGGTCTCTTCTGTTTGTGTTGTACAACTGACAGAACTGCTTATGTGCATGTCACCCCCCCAGTCTTGATTTACTTTCACTAGTCTAATTAGCTTAGCTTGCAAAATAGTTCTAAGAATGCAAATCCTCTGAGGTGACCAACACTTTAGAGAATGGAATACTTTTCTCCAGAACTTCTCTTTCTGTTTAAAACATCTCACATTTAAGCAAGCCCTACACAAGAGTTTACTGATTTTGTTTAGATCATTCTTTTAGCTTATGGTATGGGTCATGTTGATTCTGGGCTCATATATGGATGTTTATCTTTATGTGGTTTTTTTGTTGTAATTGAAAGCTGCTTGAAAGTGGTTGAAACTGTACATGGCATACTTTGGACTGGACAGTGAGCATTGTTTTTTTTCCTAGAAGTATTGTAAAATTAGCAAAAATCAATGGTTTTCCGTCATGGGTGTGCTGAGGCTTCAAGATTCTAGTGAATATCTAGGAGAGTTTTTAGTATGTCACTTAGTGGAACTCTAGAAAACATGCCACAGTAATCCTATACTCAGCAAATCTGCTGATATGAGTAGCAGGATAGGACATATGTAATATGTGGTATTTGGTGGCAGACAGAGTCAGCAAGAGTCTCTGCAAAGCAAATTTTTGGGCTGCTAACCAAGTGAAAACACTTAATCACTGTGTATAGACTGACAGCTAGATAGAGGAGAACCATGTCCAGGTCTAGAAGAGAGTGAGAGGGGTATCAGCACCCTTCTGAGCCACATCTGGAATAAATAGGCCCCTAATTCCCAGGGGGCCATTGTGCAGCTGCACAGCCTGCACAAATGGTATGTTCACCACTGGTGGTATGTTCATACTGTATTAGCAAATAAAACATTTGTGGTACATTTATATTAGTTATAGATATACATTCTGTATATTTCATTCTTTTTATGAACTGAAAATTCTAACAGTATGTAACTCCAGATCAATATCTACAGGTTCTTTAGTTTAATATGGTTGGTTGGATGGTTGGAATTGCCAAGTTTTGTTAACCTCCCCGGCTGTATTCCCGAGTCTGGCTCGCGGTTAATTTTCAATACCAGGAGCGGTAACCCCGAGCTAGACTCGGGAATGCACAGAAAAGTGTCACTTACCTTGTCCCTGCGAGCCCGCGGCGTCCTCTGCTGTACGTGGCCGGCCGATATCTGAGTTTTAGTTTCGTTTTCGGGCGTCACAGCTGGCCGGAAAGTGAAAAGTTGCAATGTACACAGAATACACTGCAGTAATCTGCTATGATTACACTTATGTATCAAACTATTTCACTTCAATTTTGTCCATAAAACCAATAATCATACCGCCAGGGAGCTTAAGCATGTATGGGGTGATTGGCCTTTGAAGTGAACACATCCAATCAGTTTAATAGATTTTATCCAGATTACTAGTTGAATCAAGTTAACATAACTGCTGTAAATTCTTCAGTAAGTCTTCAGTTAATCTGAACAAGCCATACAATGATCTATGTATACAGAGCAACCACTTAAAATATCAGCCAGGTTGTCCAGACCATTATGGTGTTAACTTCCAAGTCTTGCATGAGTATTTCGTGATTTAGTGATACATCCAGCTGTGGAATAGTATGCAAACCATTCTATACAGTGTAGGAGGAAATGTTTAAAAGGTTTATTGACACTGGCAGTGTTGTATGAATTATCTAAGCATATATCTGGTTGCTTTGGATAACACCTCATTTACAAAAATACAACCACAGCCTAACTAACATAACAAGCACTCTAACTGCTTTCAATTGTCTTGTAACAAATCGAAAATAATTTAAAGCCAAGTAAATATATTTAGCACTTACCACAGATATAGTTAAAGCAGCATGGATCACCGTCTCTAACTTGGACTGCAATCTGATCCGCTTTGCATGCTGGAGGTAAAACTACTGGGCAGGCAGATGGGTCACACACTGTAAAGGGAAATTGCATTGATTTTGTAATGAGACAGAAGTAAAACAAAGCAGTATTCATCAATTGTTTCCATCACAATCCAGCTCGTTGTAGTTACTTCTTTGCCCTTTTCCTATTTGAGATTTGTCTTATCATAATTTGAAACCTATAACAGTAATTCAAATTTGTCTCTGCTCAACTAAGCCTTTAAGGTATATTATTCCAGTTTTTCATGTTATCAAAAATAGGCATAAAGGAGTCAATTCACAATGTGCATTGGCTAATTCACCAAATAGATTATCTTGTGTTACCAATACAATGTCTGTGTCCAGTATTTCTAGTAGAATTTTTCCAAAATTACTCAGGATTTTGACACTTCTTATCATACCATTGTATGTAAAAGTCAGTTAACAAAGATTAGCATACAGGTTATGACTCTAAAATATTACTTATTGCTTACTTATTACTTACCAATATCTTCTGCAAGGCAATAATTTTAGGTTCCATAAAGTGACTTATTGATTTATTCTGAGATAAAATGTGAAATTAAAACATAGAAATACTAACCACAGTGAAATTGAAGGCAGCAGGTCCTCGGGCTATAGTCTGCAACCAGTCTTTCCCCAGTCTTACAGGTTGGAGGTCTTTCACACAAGGATATGTTACATTCTATAAACATATAATATAAACATAACAATAAATCAAAACTGATATTGTGTCAGTGCATAAACGATACAACATACAGGTATGTTTGCTTGAAATAATAGAACAACATACAAGTGTGAGCATGTATGTGAATTTACACGTTTAAGAGAATTCCTGAAAATGGTGTTTTACTGCATTAGAAATCTATCAGATGGCCAAACCATTGCAAATGATGCACTCCCTGTGTGGTTGATATCTTATCTCAAATGCTGGGAAGCAAAATGACTCTAACAGCTAATCTCTAACAGCTAATCTCCCCTGCCTATGGCAGCTAATCTTAAAAAGTAATATCAAAAACTAATTTATAGTCTATCTAAAGCCTTAAACAAAAATGAAATATATTGCACCTTGCCATTCCTTAGACGTGGTGGCTGCAATAGTTTTCTATTTTTAGGCTTTATTTCTTTTATTTCTACCTGGAGATCCTGCCAGTAATAAACTTCCCGTCCTATGGTGACAACAGTCACTCACCTTACTGTATCAGGACAACAGAAAAAAGACCAGACTACAGAAACCTCTCCCTCTCCTCTTCTTGATAACAGATTTTGCAGGGTTTTTTTAGTCCTCAGAGATAACTGAGAACAATATAACTGATAAGAATGCAGCACAGGCAGAAAGCACAGGAAATTATCAGCTGACAAGATTGCTGGCAGGATCAACAGGTATTTGTTGCACAGATATAACAAAACACTTCCAATGGTATATATAAAATGTATCTCTAGGAAAAAAAACTTTTTTTTTTGTTTTGGATAGAATTGGGAAGGATTAGACCGCCTGTTGAGTTTTGTTTTGTTTTGCTGTCTGTGTTGCCATTGGGGAGATTCCCACATCTATTTGTACTTGTCTCTGAAAAATGTTGTGCCCAGAACAAGAGGTAGGGGAAATCTAATAGATACAATCTAAGACTAGAAGGTCTTATGCTTAGGGTTTACATACCCTTTAAGGCATACACTGTAAGTGTTATGTACTATATTTTTCCTCTAAAAACATCTGATATTGGTGAAACCTTTATTTTCCATTCTTATACTAACCACCAAACATATGAAAAATCACATGCTTTCTTTGAACTTGGTAATGTAGAGTTTGTGGTGTTCATGGATTTACATACCGCACACTTTCTTTGGGCAGCATGACCCTTCTTCAATAATGCTGATAAGAGCCTCTCCCTCCTGCGCACAAGTTGGCACTGGTTCCTCGTGGCATTGAGGTTCCAGGGATATTACTGTGCCATTCTGTAGGCATTTTGACAGACAGCACTTACTGACAGATGAATGCCATACTTCTCCGGGTGAGCGTGGGCGTCCTTCATTATCAGTGCATGCTAAGATAAGAAACAGAGCCTAAGATTAACCGCGAAGCATGCTTTAATATTTGGCCATTGTGCTCTATTCATTTGACCAAACACGCTAGTATCTGGCAAAACATTGGATCCCACCTCATCATTTCTCTCTGAATATCAAAATGACATTAGGTCAGATCTGAGTGCGAAATAAAATCCTGACAACAAACATCCTATGTCTATACAATCTATAACTACACCCAAATACATATCTCACCCAGTTCAAAAAGCATGAAAATAGTTATTCCATTATTCTGATTTAATTGATTTTAAGGTAATATATTTAAATCATATCTCAATTACCTACCATTTATTTAATCCATATACTATAGGGATACCCTACAAATGGTATATGTATGCTTACTGTACTTTTTAACCCAAGCAGTAATTTCTTATGTGAAGTTGGAGGCTGTAGTAGCAAATATTCATTGTTTTTTAGACCTATATTTAAGGTTCACCTAAATTGATGTTTAAATCATTGTCAGCATTGGCTAATGTGTGTTGCTATGCAATAGAAGATTTACTACCCAATGCACTGGGATACTAACAGCTGATAAGTAGCAATTGATGAATCTAACCTCCTGATAGCAGATGTTTGGTAAGCAATGTTTCTGTGTACTGCTACTAACAGAATAATCTTCCAACATTGATTTGTTAGCCTTCAATAGATAGATCTGCACATTCCTAAGAATTCAAGCCCAACATTTCGTATTTGGTGGGATGGGGTAGGCTGTCACAAGGCTGCATATTCAAAAGGGTTTTGTGAAATATTAAGATGACACAATTTTACCCAGTTATACTCATTTTGTACTTATTAAGCAGTGTTTAAAGGTACACCGCAGTCCTGAAATATTTTTTATTATTTATGCTTCATAAAAGGTTTTTAGGTGGGGGCCAGTGTTTAATAGTACACTAAAGTTTTGTATTGCATACACGGTAAAAAGCCTATGTATTCCACTTTGGGTTTTAATCCAGGCATAACAGTAGTGAACCAGGCCATTCCACTTCCATTTACAGTATACAGTATGTAACCTGGTGATCTGAGAATTATTTTCTTACTGCTTGTAATGCAGTTCAACACATCCACTGCAGGCGCTTTGCTGTCTTTCATATACAAAGATCCTAAATTACCAAAGTAGTTGTATCAAGAAGTCCCTGATAGCCTCTAATCAGATTCTAACCTGTCATGAAAGTATAATTCTGATTGGTGGTGCCTCAAGCAGAGAGGAATTTACACAGGGCATGCTTCAGGAAACAGACCATTTCACAACACATATGAGAAGCTTTGTAAATTCTGTCTTTAGTGGGTTACACAGAACTTAGATTAAGGAAAAAAGAGCGGACTCTGAACTTAATACTGTTATTTCCTGAATAGCATTGGCAAGCTAAATGATTTCAGATTAAGGCAGCAGGTGCTATAAGTGTTTTAAGTAACACAATACCACATTTGTCTTCTGGAATGCACAGCTCAGAATCCGTCCTGTGGAGAATAGTTCCCTTTTTGCAGACACAGTCTTCCCTTAAGTAGGAACACGGGGACTCTTCATAATACCACTTGTTTAAGCAGGTTTTGGCAGCACATGGTTGTACACAAGGCTGGTATTCCTTTCCCTCTGGACAAGTCAGCGCTATAAAAATGTAATAACGTTATAAATCATTATTTGCATAGTACAAAATGAGCATTCTCCATCCTCAGTTAGGAAAGCATCACAATTAACAGCCATCAATATTGCATATTAGAAGGCAGCTATATCCAAGCATGCATTGAAAATTACATTTACAGAATGAAACCTTGATTATGGTGGATGTTGGGCAATACAGCTTTAACAAATTTCTCTTTTACAATTTGATTGGCAAAATAAATTTACAAAGCCAGTCAGGTAAGCATGAATAGTTCAGGTAGGTGTCACAGACAAGAGCTGAGTACAAATCTGCTGTTTCTGTCTGCAATACACATCACTTTTCCTCACCCTTTTTAACCATAATGGTACACTGAACATAAATGTTTATGGAATGAGGTCTATGGGTACCTTACGGTTAAACAGAGGACATGCTGACTGTAAAACAGAGTGGGGAGAGCAGAGTCATGTCTCATCACTGTGCTGCTGCTGCTACTTCATTGTTCAGTCCTAAGTTTGGATTACGTTTTAGTCCAAGTTGTGCTACTACTCCAGTGGAGATCCAAGAGTTCACTATCCTGTTTGGCAGGGATACCAGGATCAACCTGGCTGCGCAGAATTGAAAAGCCTTTGACAGGTAACACAACTGTCATAGGGAACACTAACCACCAATGTAAGGGGACACATTGACAACTGAACACCAATGTCATGAGGGCATACACATTAGTGGCCGATAACATTTAAGAGGGCTCGCACCAGAGAACACAATATAAGGTGGCACGGTCTTCTGCTGTATAGTCCTTTCCACTATATTCTGTACACTATGTTGTATACTACATAGCCCTAACTGTTGCACTCTAACAGCTTCACTGTAGAAGCTATGTTGTAAGTTACATAGTCCCAGTGCTGACCTGACCTGCACTGTATAGACTATTTTTACATTACATACTCCTGTCCACTGTACTCTATGCTCTATGCTCTATGCTATACATTACATAGTCCCAGGCTCAGGTTCTATTAAAAAAAATTCCACTGATTTCCAATCCTTGCAATGGCCTTGCTGCAGTATGAATATATAACTGAGGATAACAATAAAGCAGTGTGACTTACAGCAATAATCTTTGGTTCTCCATCGAATGCAGATATTGTGTTTGCTGCACAATGCTACATAGGCAGAAAGAGCATCACATTCATAATTTAAGAAATATGTGCTGTTGATCCACATCTTCTCACAGAAATCTTGAGGTGAAACCTACAAATAACACCAACTTAAAGCAAACCAACCATCAACAAGTAAACATCTGCATTTTACTAGAAAAGGTGTGGAATGGAAGAGTCTGAAATGCAGCAAAATTACAGTCATTAGTGCCTCCGATAACATTTACAAATAAATAGAAAAATGCTGCCTAAAGTCATTCCATCTTAACCTTTTACGGTAATTTTTGAAATTATATCAGCTAATAACAAAATCCATATTTTGTCTCTGATCATTGAATGCCATGTTATAGACAATGGATAGATGTTTCTACATTGGTTAGGTCAACTAGGGACAGATTTACACTTCCTGCCTCTTAGGCTAATTGTATTGGGCTCCCCCACTCCTACTCCAGGTAACTGGCTAACCTTAGTATCATGCCAACATGGTCAGATATCATAGAAATGCAGGGCATACCAGATTTGGGGTTGGAGAGGCTGAAAGACACAATCTTCCAATTCTTCACCAGTACATCTAGAACTTATTATACACAGGAATATGTTAATGACAGCCAGCAACATGATGTGTGGCTGCATGTGTGCCACTCCTAGCAGCTCTGCCACCTTGGTCATTGCCTATTTAATTTTGCAGAAATCTGGCCCTGGGGAAAACATTAATTGTATCTTCTTTAACATTAGTCTCTCCTTTCATATGCCATGAGTGTTTTTACAGAGTAGTAGACATGTGCGATTCGTTTCGTTCCGAATCGAAATTCGGACGAATTTTCGGAAATTCGGATGTATCCGAATTCCGAATTACAGATATAACGAATGCAAATGAATCCGAATTTCTGTTTCCGAAATTCGGTAGCGGTAGTTCGTTCGACCGTTCGTTTAGTTTTCGTCTCTTATTCGTTTCGTTCGTTGAAGAAAAAAAATTTCCCCCTCAAATGTCACTTTGCTGCAAACGAATGAACGAAACGAATAAGAAACGAAAACGAAACAAACGTTTGAACGAACTACCGCTAACGAATTTCGTCCGAATCCGAATTCCGAATCCGAATTGACTTTCACACCCGAATCCCAAAAAACGAAATAAAACAAATCCGAATTTAAAACGAAACGAAACTAACCAAATTTTTTGGCAGTGCACATGTCTACAGAGTAGCCAGGCAGAAAAATTTGAATATCATGTAATATAATTGCACATACCTTCCGGTGGCATGGGGCAAATACTTTTTTGTTGAGTAATTCCATGCAGTAAGTGCAGTTATCTTCAGTGCAGTTCCGCACTGGACGTCTTGTAGAAACATCAATTGATTTCTCAATCTCCCAGCTTTTTATAAATGCTTCAATATCCTCTTTATTTGTTACTATGGTCCTGTTTTGCATTTTTAAATCATCACTTGGATCCCCATTGCATATTCCTTGTAACACAGAAAAGGGTCAGTCATCCTAAGGCAGTATTTTTGCACTTACTTACACTGAAATATGGAAAGCAGTATAGGATACTGCAAATCATTCTGCCTGATGTAACACTCCCTCCTGTATTGGTGATTTATAGTACAAACATATCGTTTGATGGTACCAAAATGTACCTTAAATTAGCAGAGGATCAATCATTACAATATGGATTACATGTTTTAATAATAATAACACTGATGACTTCTTTTGTTTTCTGTCATTGCTGGCTATCCCATTCTTTTTTAACATAGGCAGTAGAAGACAAAATAGCAAACACCAACAGAATTTAAACATTTTCTGAAGAAGAATGTGGTGTCATGTTGGTCAAATGCAGAAATCACCAATGTACTGTGACTGTATACTTAGCTAAAAAATCAATTAGAATTATGCATTTATGTGAATACCTGAAGCAGATGACATTGCATCCAAATCAAGCAATTTCTTTCTCCCTAAAGTGAAGGGAAAGCCCTACGTAGATGGCTGTCACTAGGGCAGATACTCCTTTGGAAGATTTTCCCTCCCCTACTAAAAGAGTAACACCAAAAACAATTCATCTGGGGTTTTAAGAGGCGCACACCATTGCAATTGTTTAAAATCAGTATTAATTCCTTGATTCCAACAGATTTTTTTCCAATAAAAAATTCTATTTCACATGCAAAAAAACCTAGATAAACTGCCTCTGGTCCCCTGAGCAAGCACACCAGCAAAACGCGTGGGGAGAAAAAACGCATGCCACAATTGAAATATGATTGTGAAGACACACACAAATTAACTGAGAGGAAATATTGGACAATATTGGTCAATTGTATTTATATTGTTCGTAAAGATCGTAAATGTGGCTGCAGGAGGCATATTGTAAAGGAGGGGACAAAAATGTATGTGTTTTTATTCCTATTTTTATTACATGTCAAAATTAATGTTGGATTAGAAAAAAATCTGTTGAGATCAAATTAATATTGATTTTAAACAAATGCAATGGTGTGCGCCTCTTAAAACCCCAGATGAAGTGCTTTCGGTGTTAGTCTATAATATAGGGTGAGGCGCAAATCGAATTGACTGACTCTGGGGATATATGTGAGTGAAACCCTACTTGAGGAGCATTACTACTATATCGTTTGTTCCAGCAAAAATTTCATAGTCTGAGAAATCACTCTGAATATTAAAGAAAGCTGCACTCATTTCATATGCACACAGGCCCATTGTATGTCATAAAATATATAATTTTGCTTTCATGTCCTACTCACCACATAGCCCTTCGGTCTTGGTAGTTTGATTGGAATGCAGGCCGTACTGTATGTCTATGATACCAGTAACATGAGTCCATTTAATGCTGATGCCTGCTGGGGTGTTAATGACATACATCGCTCCTGTGTCCTGGATACACAGGCCTTGCTTCGAGAAAGGTAAAGGCTGAGGTTTTGAATTCACTTCTACCTAAAACATGAGGAAGAGAATCATAAAAATTTTACTAGTGAACAACCAAACATTTAGTGATTTTTTTTTAACTGATTGCTTTTTAATTTGTGGCATTAGGTGCGCGCAATTTTAAAGCTTGACATGTTTGGTGTCTATTTACCCGACGTGACCCAATATTTTATATTTTACCAAAAAACTGGTTAATAATAAATGTTTCCTAACATAATGTAAAAAAAAACTTTTTTTTTTCAAAATTTTCTGTAATTTTTCCTAATTATAATAAAAAATAAAAACCCCAGTGGTGATTAAATACCCCCAAAATAAAGCCCTATCTGTCCCCAAAAAATGGTATAAAATTCATTTCAGTACAGCGTTGCATGACGGAATAAACGTCAGTCAAAGGACTGCAGCTCTGAACACTGAAAAATGGCCTGGCCAGGAAGGGGGTCTAAACACCTGGTCTTGAAGTGGTTAAACAGCTTTCAATCTTATAACTAACCAAATGGATCAAGGCAACCAACCTACTACCAGCAGTTAATATTGAAACCGTGAAATACTACAACTTACTTGAGTGTAGGTTGTTCAGAGACCATAAGCCGAGCAATCATGATCGCTCAGCTCTTAGTCTTAGAGCCAATGTGTCACAACTGTACTGTCCCACGCTAGCTCTAAGCTATGGGGAGAGTATATTTTACTCTCTCCACACTTCCTCTTATGGCAGCTTTCCATCTACCTAAAGATAGTAACATTTTCATGCACATTACCAGTAATTAAATTAAACGTCTCAATCTTTGGTAAACTGGCTCCTAAGTCACTGAGGAGCAGCCTAACTAGCAGAAACCCCCCACCCCCATTTTAATAGAAATGCACTGATCAGCACGTTTTTGAGCGTTTTTAATTGCGTTCCAGCACTGAAACGCGACTAAAAACAGCCATAAATGCTCTTTCAAAAATTGTGCGGAAACCACGGTGAAACGCTTCCGCCCTGGCGTGAATGGTGCTTGAATGAGGCCTAACACTTTCCTTTAATACTGCCACACCAATGAAAGGCTGAGGAAAGGGAGATTATAAAAAAATTAAGGAACGCTAAACTGTAAATAAGAGATTTATGTTATAAATGTTTTTTGCGCTGTGTTGGTGTTTGTGTTGTGATAAAATGATACAGGCGTATATTTAATTACAACACAAGGTATCACAACTCATGGCAATGCGTCACAAATGTTTTTTTACAAAAGATGCGTTCTAACAACGCACTGCAGCGCATGTGCCTGGCGTACACCACAATATGTGTATGTGTATGTTATGTGTGGGGGGGGA